TGTGCTCATTGGGACCTTCAATGCTGCAGACATTGTTCTGTACCCTTCCCTAGATCTATGCCGGAGGTCTACGGACAATTCCTTGGACTTCATGGCTTGGTTTGTGCTCTGAGCATCAAGGGTAAACAAATCGATCCAACGAGTTTGAGGGGATCTGTCTCCCCCTTCTTCAGGGCTATCATAGAAGCATAAAGAAAACAAGCATAACAAATGTGCAATTCAGTTTTTATAATATAATTGTCTCTCTAAAAAAACAAAGATGGTACATATGTATTTATGCGGAGGCAAAGTAAATTATTTGTATATAATATGTGCCAATAAATGAATTTTAATAAAAAAAGTTCACACACTTGGTGTTTGAAGAAATTGGAGCCAACATTGGAAATTCCCTCACAGGGCAACTGTAATCAAAGAAAATAGAAAGGAATGATTCAATTCCTAAACAAAAAAAAATGACCAGTAGAGTCACCTTCATTGATACTTGAATATCTACGAATATTGCCCAATCCTTTAACCAACTGCCTAACAGGCACTTTCACCTCCTTCCTGCCCAGGATAATTTTCAGCTTTCAGTGCTGTTGCACTTTGAATGACTATTGCACGGTCATGCAACGCTGTACCTAAATGACATTTTTATCATTTATTTAAGACACATGGAGCTTTCTTTTGTTGGTATTTAATCACCACTATGTTTTTTATTTTTTGTTAAACAAACAAAAATTTTGTGTTCTGTTATACAATTTTGCAAACAGGTAATTTTTCTCCTTCACTGATCTGCGTTGAAGAAGCTGCACTGATGGGCACTGATATGCAGCACTGAAGGGCACTGATAGGCTGCACTGATGGGTACTGATGAGGCAGCACTGATGAGCGCTTTTAGGCTGCACTGATGAGCACTGATGAGGAGGCACTGATGAAGCAGCACTGATGAGGCAGCACTGAAGGGCACTTATAGGCTGCACTGATGGGCACTGATAAGGAGGCACTGATAAGGTGGACTGATTAGGCAGCACTGATGGGCACTTATAGATGGCACTGATTAGGAGGCACTGATGAGGCTGCACTGATATGTGGCACTGATGGGCGGTGATATGTGGCACTGATGGGCACTGATAGGTGGCACTGAAGGTCACTGATAGATGGCACTGACTGGCAGCACTGATGAGCACTGACTGGCGGCACTGATGGACACTGTTGGGACTGCACTGATGGACAATGACTGGCAGCACTGATGGATACTGTTGGGACTGCACTGATGGACACTCCTGTGACTACACTGATGGACATTTGTTGGGGCTGCACTGATGTCCCCTTAGGACTGCACTGATATCCTGCTGTATATATACAGTTGGCAATTTCTGGCTGTACTCTCTCCTCACGCTATGACAGTGCGAGGAAAGTGCAGCCGATAACCGGCAACTGTGTGTGTCATTGGACACAGCTGATCACATGGTAAAAGGGCGCTGTGATTGGCCCTTTACCATGTCATGTGATCGGCTGTGTCCTAAGGACCCAGTGATCACAGAGCTCTCTGGGTGCGTGCCCCAGGGGGCACATTGGAGGCACGGTTCTGGAGGACGTCATATGACGCCCTCCCAGAACTAGATGACAGCACTGTAGCCATCATTCGGCTATAGCCCGGTCATCAAGTGGTTATGAACCAAGCAACTAAAGCGGTAAAGGTGTCCTTCACCTAGTCCTAGACCTCATATTGTCATTAGATACCTCTGATACACAGACTGTGCCACCATTATTCTCAACATATATTTGAAAGGAAAGCATTTATTTTGTTGATGTTATAAATAATTCACTTTGCAAATGACTTAGTGGTTTTTTGATACGTTCAGCAATTTCCTATTTAATATTTACTTTGATACTGCACAAAATATATTTATCTTTTGAAGGAAATATTTTTTCTTCCGCAAAGGCCACTAAATAATTTAGCTGATGAAGAAGTTTCCCATATATATGTCAGCTTACATGAGAAATCAAACCTTTGTGTATTGCAAAATGCCAAAAAAAGAGCCACGCACACTAATACAAAGGCATATGATAGAAGAATAGTTAGTAACATGCTAACTGGTTTTCAAATGAGAATATTTGCATTGAAAGGTTTTATTATCCTGGATGTCAACATGCAGATTGCTCGGGTGTGAGTAGAGCACTGGAGGAATGAAGAATTAGATACATATTATTGCTGAGCGCTTAACCCTTGCTCTGGGGACTTCGTACATTTTTTTTTTGCTGACTGGAGTTCGGCTATAAACATAAGGAAATGAGATGCCACCAGGTAGTATAGCCCTTCGTTTCTCAACCTTTTTTCAGGCAAGGCACCCTTTACCCTTTAAAGTGATGGACAGTCCCGAGGCACCCTTTAAACTGATGGACAGTCCCGAGGCACCCTTTAAACTGATGGACAGTCCCGGGGCACCCTTTAAACTGATGGACAGTCCCGAGGCACCCTTTAAAATGATGGACAGTCCCAAGGCACCCTTTAAAATGATGGACAGTCCCGAGGCACCCTTTAAAATGATGGACAGTCCCGAAGCACCCTTTAAAATGATGGACAGTCCCGAGGCACCCTTTAAAATGATGGACAGTCCTGAGGCACCCTTTAAAATGATGTACAGTCCCGAGGCACCCTTTAAAATGATGGCAGTCCCGAGGCGCCCTTTAAAATGATGGACAGTCCCAAGGCACCCTTTAAAATGATGGACAGTCCCGATGCACCCTTTAAAATGATGGACAGTCCCGAGGCACCCCATTCTAAAATGTGAAAAAACTATTCTAATAGGTTTATATAAGGCAGCAACATCCACACATGTAGGACACCCAACATTAGAGGTGATTTATTCTTCCAAAGCAAATACACTTTTGCACACTAGTATTCCCATGTTTCTCTTCTCCCTCAGTTTTTTCTCCATCACTAAGCTAATGTGACTCCAGCACTGACAGAGAGGGGCAGGGGAAGGTCAAACTAGGATGCTGTGCTTCCTCGTTATCAACTGATGATGCCATTGGTTGTCAGGACGCCGGCGGCTAGAAGGTCGTAATGGTGCACAATGACAACCTGTGGTTTTGCGTAACTGAAAGGCTGGCTTGTTTCACCCATTGGCTTGTATACAGGTTTTGGGCATTTTTTAGAAATTTTGCCAAGGCACCCCTGAAGAAACCTCAAGGCACCCCAGGGTGCCTGGGCACCCTGGTTGAGAAAGGCTGGTATAGCCTACTAGCTGAGTAGTTCAGTTTTCATGCAGACATTGCTGTAGTGCTGACTTCCTTTTGTTTGTAATCTGGTGATCCTGGAACACACCTCGTGGTGATGGTGGCTCATATCTGCTGGTGATCCTGGAACACAACTCTTGGTGATGATGGAGCACATTTGCTGGTGATCGCGGAACACACATGATGATAATCCTGGAACACACTTGTTAGTGATCCAGGAGCACCTCTGTCTCACAGCTGATCACAGTCCACACCCAGGAGCGGACCCTTTCTAAGTCTCACAGTGGATGTCCATCCATCCTCAAGGTAGAGAGCTGTATTTGCAAGCCATCTTGATCTGTTGAGCTGTTCACAGGTTGCTCCAATATAAGTGTGCTACATTAAAGTATTGTTGTTTTTATCACACATTCATCTGGCGCCCTGCTCTTTTCTTTTGCATGTCCATGAGGGATTCCCCCAGGGGCATATTTACCACACAAGGCAAACAAGGCAGTTGCCTAGGGCGGAATCTTTCAGGGGGACAGCACTGCCCCCTGGAAGAATGGACACATGCACCACGGAGACCAGGTGGGAGACCAGAAAGGCTTGATGGTGTATGCAGAGCCCAACTTTCGTTCCCAGGGATGTCCAGAGCTGTAAAGGTGAGTGACTTTCTCTCCGGGTGGGGGGGGGCAGGGGTGTTGTTGGTCAAAATGTCAGGCTCTGAGCATGGCAGCAAAAAACCTAAATAAACTGGATTCCCCATATCCTGTGCTGCCGCAATTTTTTGTGTTCCACTTTGTGGGCTGCCCCACTCTGAAAGCCTATCCATGGACTATAATATTTTTGCGCTGTTTATATTTATATCATTTTTATTTTCATTTATACCTATTTGTTTCCATTGTGGACTATGGTGCTGGATTTGGCTGGCTTGTTTATTGTTTCTAGTAGCTATTTTACTTACTAAACTCATCTTGCCCCCAGCTTAATCTGCCACATTCTTTCTTTCCAGGGGATGAGGTCACTTCCATTGGCTCTAAGGAAGACGGGGGTCGCCCCTTGAAACACTTCAGTAACCGTTTGGATCATCTCTTCCCAAAAGGACTTATCCAGGGGATGAGGTCACGTCCATTGGCTCTGAGGAAGAGGGGATCTCCCCTCCAAACCTTCAGCCATTTGGATCATCTCTTCCCAAAAGGACTTATCCAGGGGATGAGGTCGCTTCCATGTATTGTCTGATTGGCATGCCATGTATTTCATGTTCTTTGTGAGTACACATCTACATTTTATTCCAATAAAGTTAATATTGAGTAAGAAGATACGGGTGTGCTTTCTATTTTTTTATGTTTTTTTATAATTGCTCTGTTCCCCTAACTTATCGGAGGGCAGCACAGCCAGTACCATCTTTGACCCACTGCTAGGCCGTTCAACAGTTTCCCATGGTGCCAATGCATTGCTCTTGAGCACAGGGGGTGTTTTTCTTGTTTGGCCCATTAAGGTGAACCTGTTTGCAGCAAAATTTATATCACATCGGGGGAACTTTGGTCTCCTATGTAAATTCAATAACATTTTAGTGAAAAAGTGTACAAAATTCTATGCACAGAAAGCTGTGCCCCCATGTGCAGTTGTGCGGGCGCTAAAGCCTACCCTTTTGGCCACCGCAGATATGCGTTAATACAGGGCGGACTGACCATTTGGAAACTCAGGCACTGCCCAAGGCAAGGGTCATAGGGGGCCCCATGAGATGCCCCTGTTTACCTTTTTCACAGGCTTTTTTTGAGTTTGGGCAAAGATACCCCATGATCCCCTATTGCCCGGGGGCCCTATGAGTTGTCAGTCCGCCCCTGGAGAGAAGGATACTTCTTGAGGAGTATTTAGGAATTCCAGCAATCGAAGAGCAGGTGGGCAGATGTCTTTTCTTCTCAGCGAGAATCCTGTTCATCTATGATCACCCAGGCTCAAGTGTTCAGATAATAAGTGCTTTCAGGTAACAAGATAGATAATGCACATTGTTTACTTGTAATGAAAGACTTCCACTCTACCTAAATATTTAGCATGTTTTTCTATCTTTCTATTGAAAATAACACTAATTACTATGCTTTAGACCTGTCAATATCCCCTGAAAACACTCAGAGAGAAGTCTAAGAGTGACATCTCCCACAATTGGAGCTCTAATTAGAGAGAATGCGAAGCTTGGCGCATCAGTGCATTCTGGGATACAAATCCTGCTAAAGAAAAAGAAAAAAAATTAAGACTGTACAACTGTGTGTGTCTGGCTCTCCAAATGTCTAAAAGTTAAAAAGGATTACCAACAAAAGCAGTGTTGTTCTTCCAAAGAGCCAGGATGAGAGCTTTATTTCATGTGATGTCCTCTAGGGCTTTGTGGTATCAAGCATTTTCACCAATCTGATTAGGTGCCTGTAGTTGGGGCCTCAGCCAAGGTACCCAATCTGGGAAGAAATCACACATGCTTGTATATTGCTTTGAATTATCTTTGTAGCACAACCCCCCTAAGGATTGCTTCATAATTTTTGGGTTCCCTGTCAATCTGGCCCTCCTTTTGAAAATCCGACCTTTGCCTACACCACCATACTCTTGTGACCACAATAAACCACAACTGTAAAATGGACTGACACACAAGGTATTATAAACTAATATGAAGTTTATACTGGCATTGAATTTAACGTGGTCAAACAAACAGAATAACATGGGTATATGTAGCAAAGATAATAACTCTTGTCAATTTTAAGTAAAAATGACAGCATACACAGTGAAATACCCATAACTGTTAGCAGGCCTGCTTTCAGAAATAATCCAATGCCTCCAATCTGAGGAGACTATTGAACCCTCCAGTGAGCAAGAAGAACTATCAAACAGGTAAGCTCACTGTGGGTACTCTGATCTAGATGACAGATTAAATGTGAAGTGAAGAGAGCTCTCAGTTATAATTGATCAATGTCCCTTTAAAAATTCTATAGACTCTTTTGCTCGCTTGTTGGGGCCCAGTTGGTATGAAATTGAATTAAGGTGTAGATAATAGTTCCTCAATATGGTAGCACAAAAATAATAGGAGGAAAAGAAAGATATAACAATTCCTTTTGCTGGTAGTGAATTAGTGCAGGGTCCGCTTTAAAGCACAAGATGAAAGGCAGACTTGAAATAGTGGAGGTTAACAATTGGCAAAAGTGTCTATGGGCAAGGACAACTCTCTCTGAATGTCAAAGGCCAAAGGTAACAGTAGTAGGAATCCCATTCTGCTGGAAAAGTTTCAGTTGGCACCAATGTTTTTTGGTGTTTTTTTTTTATTTTTTGTAATTTTATTTAAATTCTTTAGGATTTTTAATTCTAAATGATGTAATCACACCCATATGTATGTATATGTTTTATTGCATATGATTGTATGCTGTCCAAATTATGCCAGTTGCATTTAGGGTAGTAATCCATACCATGACAAGCGCATAGATGGAGGTATCATAATATACTGTATATCGATATCTAATATTACATATATGGGCTCAGTCAGTAATATTTGATTTTATTATATGTAATTGATTGTATAGCACCATTAATACAGTCCAGAAAATACCAATAAGGGCTATAAATTAAACGTGGAAGCAGTAATATTACAGCAATACCAATCCAATACAGAGTAAGCTAAAGGAATATGGCCACCGCCATACAGACTACAACAAAATGGCGCTAAGGTGGTCCCTGTATAAAATGAATGAGCACCATGCCATCCAATCATTTCCCTCTGATGAAGCCGTAGGGGAGGGGCTATGACGTCATGACGCTCGACTGACAGAGGAAAAGATATCAGCAGGCTGTTCAGGCTTTGAAGCAATTGATCTTTGTGTAAAGCGCTTTATTATATTACACATGTGAGTGGAATACAGCTTATATTAAATAAATGCTTTTTATAAAGGAAAAAGCTCTATGTTTTGATTATTTTTCTTGGCATTTGAAGCGATGGTGGAGGACAACTAGAGGAGTGAAGGGGACCCAGATGCTTTGGAAAGCAATCCCATCTCATCATAGACCAAATAAAGGGACACATGCTTTATATGACCTCACTTAATGGTTTGGTCATATATATATATATATATAAGATTTTATTTTATTTATTTATTTCAGGTACTTATATAGCGCCATCAATTTACACAGCGCTTTACATATATATTGTACATTCACATCAGTCCCTAACCCTCAAGGGGCATACAATCTGAAGTCCCTAACTTACATTCATACATACACATACTAGGGACAATTTAGACAGGAGCCAAATCACCTCTGAGAATCATAGAACTATCAGATAACAACAACAAATGGTTTGTTTAAAATAGACCAATTGATTACCATTTGTTGTTGTTATCTGATAGTTCTATGATTCTCAGGGAAAATATTTCCTCAAGAAGGCGAGGAACCTTGGGTGGCCTATCACCTGGTTTCCAGCTTTACCACTAAGTTCACTAATCTTTGATGTGTGGGATTTGCCCCTTCAATCCCCCTATGTGGGGGTCATGTCTCCCAGCTCTCCCCCAGTCGAACTTCTTTTCTTTTGCTGGTCAGGGAGCCAAAATATCTGCTTCTTTCTTCCCTCTGTTCTCTTCCTATTTTTTTTTCTGACTTTTTCTGGATTGGGGGGGTCTGGGGTTCTTGACCCCTTGGTCCTCTCTGGATTTTCTCGTACTTTTTTTTTTTCTTTTTCTCTTCTTCCACATGGTTTGTTTAAAATAGACCAATTGATTACCATTTGTTGTTGTTATCTGATAGTTCTATGATTCTCAGGGAAAATATTTCCTCAAGAAGGCGAGGAACCTTGGGTGGCCTATCACCCGGTTTCCAGCTTTACCACAAAGCTCACTAATCTTTGATGTGTTGGGATTTGCCCCTTCAATCCCCCTATGTGGGGTCATGTCTCCCGGCTCTCCCCCCAGGCGAACATCTTTTCTTTTGCTGGTCTGCTTCTTTCTTCCCTCTGTTCTCTTCCTCTTTTTTTCTGTCTTTCCTGGATTGGGGGGCTCTGGGGTTCTTGACCCCTTGGTCCTCTCTGGATTTTCTCATACTTTTTTTTTCTTTCTCTCTTCTTCCACATGGTTTTTTAAAATAGACCAAGTGATTACCATTTGTTGTTGTTATCTGATAGTTCTATGATTCTCAGGGAAAATATTTCCTCAAGAAATATATTCCTTGGGTGGCCTATCACCCGGTTTCCAGCTTTACCACAAAGCTCACTAATCTTTGATGTGTTGGGATTTGCCCCTTCACTCCCCCTATGTGGGGGTCATGTCTCCCGGCTCTCCCCCCAGGCGAACATCTTTTCTTTTGCTGGTCTGCTTCTTTCTTCCCTCTGTTCTCTTCCTCTTTTTTTCTGTCTTTCCTGGATTGGGGGGCTCTGGGGTTCTTGACCCCTTGGTCCTCTCTGGATTTTCTCATACTTTTTTTTTCTTTCTCTCTTCTTCCACATGGTTTGTTTAAAATAGACCAATTGATTGCCATTTGTTGTTGTTATCTGATAGTTCTATGATTCTCAGGGAAAATATTTCCTCAAGAAGGCGAAGAACCTTGGGTGGCCTATCACCCGGTTTCCAGCTTTACCACAAAGCTCACTAATCTTTGATGTGTTGGGATTTGCCCCTTCATTCCCCCTATGTGGGGGTCATGTCTCCCGGCTCTCCCCCCAGGCAAACTTCTTTTCTTTTGCTGGTCTGCTTCTTTCTTCCCTCTGTTCTCTTCCTCTTTTTTTCTGTCTTTTCTGGATTGGGGGGCTCTGAGGTTCTTGACCCCTTGGTCCTCTCTGGATTTTCTCATACTTTTTTTTTCTTTTCTCTCTTCTTCCACATGGTTTGTTTGAAATAGACCAATTGATTACCATTTGTTGTTGTTATCTGATAGTTCTATGATTCTCAGGGAAAATATTTCCTCAAGAAGGCGAGGCTCTCTATGTGTTTTTTGATGCCTTTCTGGAATGTATCTTATATATTTTATAACGTGATTGTGGGCTCCGCAGCCCTCTGTTTTTAAATGTGTTATCTGGACCCCTGTGTGGGCCTTCTATGTGTATTCCTGTGTTTCTGTATGGTGTTTCCTTGTCCTCTGTTGCCTGATGTCGCTTTGTATCATATGATTTGTGATGGTTTGTATGTTTCTTTCACCATGTTTAATAAAACTTTTGGTACAAGAAAATTGATTCAGACATTCCATTGGTTGCTACATCCAAAACAAACCTTTTTTTTTTTTTAGACGTTTTAGAGTCGGGGCACCATTTTTCTATACGACACGTACAGAATTTTTACTTTGTGTCTCGTTCATTAATATGCGCACCTTGATGGAGAAAATAAATAGTTTGCTAATTAAAAAAAGGTTACAGATGACATGTCAGTCTATTAAGCCGGTTCCCAGAAAGCGTTGGAGCTATTTCTGCAAACCTTGTAATGTTTAATTGCTGTACTGATTATTTTATGCCGTGGAAAAGCTGCGTTTTAGAAGACACTGATCCTATTTAAGTCCACCAAGAGCAGCAGATGTCTCAGACACCTGACAGTGAGGACACGAGGGGAGGCTGAGGTCCAGGCAATTATTTTTTTCACCAAAATATAATTAAGGAACAAAGATAGTTGCTTGGGGTTCTACCTTATGCATGCCCTTTTATGTGAGTGGAATGGAAAATCTAAAACATTCCGTCACAGGCTTTCTTAAAGTTTGAGTTCAAAGAAAAAAACTGGAGTATCTATTATGGGTTGCCCAGCTCTGCTAGCTCCAGTATTTCCCCTTATAACAGATTCCCTTTAAAGCTGAACTTCAGACATATGGGTAAATACATGGTTAAGATGTATCTTAA